TTGCCACACAACTCATTTTGCCAAACTTCAAAAGAAACAAGTCATTTTGTTAAAAAAATTTCAACCCATAACTTTTTAGTGCAATAAAAAAGCTTATTAGTTATTAGGTACCGGTATGTGGCAATTGAATCCTACCTACAAATCATATTTGTGACCAGCATTATGGTTTTTTTTTATTAACAAGCATTAAGTTAGGTGCCATAGCTACTCAGCTACTGTGTGGTAACTAGCCTAATGTGTCATATCATAACTGTCATTTATTGATGGTAGAACTTTAGAAGGTTGTGGTCAATTTGTGGTTCAGTTTTGTTTACATAATAACTATTACTACAACTACTGAAAGCCAAATAGCCAATGACTGTAGTGCCATAGTAGCAGTTATTTGTTAGTACTCTTAACTTCTAGGACTTGAAAGGAATATTCCAAAAAGTCTGCTTTACCATTATGGACTTAAAGCACAAGCCACAAGGAATATTAATTCTCAATAGTTAAGATTCAAGAATAATATGGTCACCAGGTCAAGATCCATCATCCATATAAGTCAACTTGGTCAAGAAAGTCAAGTCATTAACCAAATCAGCCTTATCACCAGGAACCAGTAACAGCAATACCAGGCAATCAATAGGCCATGTTGCCAGTTGCCCTGTTCATTTCTAACTCCTCTCAAATTGCACACTGAACTTGATTACTTGAGTTAAATTACATGGATAGGCATAGGCCTACTTTATAAATGGCAAAAAACAAGCACGTTTTTATACTGTTTAAAGCAAACATCATCACGCTTCACGGTCACGCCGTAACGGTAGGCAACCATTTCTATTATGGCATTACACTGCTTAGAGCTGACTGCTGAGAAAGTACCTAAACTATCTACAAGAAAAGTTAGAAAACTTTCAGTATCACAGAATAGAATAAAAAAATAACAAACCGGTATGTGAATACATTAATTAAATAAGTTGAATTATTACGTCTCGGATTCAAGCAAACAAAATTGTATATTAAAGTAACAAGTTTCAAACGATTCAGGCAAAACTAAACATTTTGGCAAGCTGTGGTTAGGTATACGTTAGTTCGGCTTCTCGGGACTAAACAGTCTAAACTTCCTCCTTCCATTAAAAATTAAAAGAAAAATCATTCATTAACGAAAATAACATGAGTTCGAAATTGAAATTATCAAACATAAATTCGTTTAGAATGTAATAGAATAAGTTGGCGAGGTAAACACAAACAAAATAAAAACGGAAACGCGCCAAACGTCCATCCAAAGCTGCACGGTGCAGGAGCAGCGGCACACTGAGTGGAAAAGAGGGAGGGAGGGGTGGGTAGAAGCGCAAGGTGAGGGTGTACAGGGGGATGAAGAGGAGCGGTGAGCATGTGGCAATGCTAGGGGAGGAGCAACTGAAAGTTGTGGTGCGACTGGTGAGCAGCGTCTCCCACAGCCACACGCTCTCCATTGGCTGCTACACGGAGGAGCAATGTGCCTCACCGCGCCACACAACCCGCACCATTACGATAATGCCGTCCTTGAATGCATCAGCCAAATCTACACTGTTTTTACGCGAGCCGTGTTCATCCAATGACCAGCTAGGCTAAGCTTCATTCCACATGACATAAGGCAATGCCAGATCCAATGCATGAGGTACAGTGGTACACTCAACACTGTAAGGCGTAAGCTACACGCCTACACCTCGTGTTCTAAAATCCAACTTGGAGACGGGCTCGTAGCTATGTCGCCATAAGATTAAAATAATCCTATTGCAATCATAACACTCGTTGTTCTATATAGATCTAATAGAGGAACGTAAACGTACCAGTATAGTACACTTTTATGCAATTTTTAGTTTAATAATAGTTTTTTAACGTTTGTTTGTCATTGGTAATTGTTTACAAAGGTTCAACACAACTACACTCTGTAAACGTTCAAGCCAAACTGGGGCTCCTCGGCCGACAAGTCTGGTAGAGATTTAGTGATAGTGAACGAGTGGTCGACTGGCCGTAACGCCAATACGGCTACATCACTATTTCCCCAGCCACTGGCGTCACTAGCCACACTTGACAACCAGTTTGGTTGTCCAATGGGGAAGCTCGTAACAAATCTTGCGTCCAATGGCGATAGCGGCAAGATAACTTCAGACCAATGGGAGAAGATATTAGAACCGCTCCTAGAGGCTCCTATTAGGGACCGTAACTGGGGTTGAGAGGATGTGTTATCACATCACAAATTCCAATGTATGAACACACAAATCGCACCGCTTTTTCCTGATCCTTGAAATTTGTTGGACGGTTGATGCATCTTTCACCGATACATCGTAATGACTATTTTTTTATTTTACTTACTAGTCGTGATGATATTGTTGTGTAGTTATCATGAATAAAACATCTAATTTACTGATTCTAAAACATATATGCCGCGAAGTAATTAAATGTAACTTTAACTAATTAAACGTAAGGAGACGATTAAACTGATTAAACGGTGGTAGAAGTTTATAGTCAACCAAGTTGAATACTGTGAATAACGAACGGAAAACGCATTCAATTTAGCTCATAAAAGTTATCAGCCCTGTATTCTTCGATGCGTTAAGATACTTTTTCAGGCGACAGTGGAATTTCAAGACAAAGGAACAAAGCCAGTTCACATACATGGTGCTGCTTGTGTGGTGCTGCACCAATACGGGCTATAGATACGCTCACAAAGGCCAGTGGTGCTACGGGGTTCACTTCAGTCGGTGCGCGGACTGCCGTCTTGTTACTGGCTTACGCACCTAGACCAATAGCAGAGCGTCACACAATCGATATCTGAATGCTAGTTTGTTGTATATGAAATTCAATCTAACACGGTTACTAAGTCTTTGTATCGTATTCTTGACAGGAAGATAACGTTTCATTAATATTTTAAGCTGAAACGGTAGGTTCCTCGTATAATGCATGAATTATTGGGAAATAAATTGCTGACGACATATCCAGCCTTTATAGCTCGGAAAAAGTAGGCGCTGATGACAGCGTACGGCTGAACACTTGATTATCTGATGTACAGTTGTACACACGGGCTGATGTGTGCAGCGGCTGTATGGAGAACAAACACACAGACTAGTGGTGTGTGGTGAAATTCAGTACCATTGCTGGTAGCAGGGATTTGATGAAAGCGCAAATTTATGCCTTGAGGCTGGTTGACATCCATCCCCACGTTCTGATAAATGGAGGCCATTTATTCGTGTGCTGCTGAGAGAGTTTGAAAATGACGCTGATTGCGTTGCATATGAACAGGCAAATAAATGGTATAAATGTTACTTATTATCCTTAATGAAATAAATTAATCCATATTATGAATTAAGTTTCTCTATTTAGCTCAGTGAACTCAATTTTGATACCTGTTATTTTTTTCATTTTTAGTGAAAATATCGCTCAATTACTTCTTGTACGGTAGTGTGCTAGTACGGTAGTAATAATGTTAGCTCGTCCGTCGAAAAAAAAATCGTAAATCGGTGTAGACTTTTATGAATAATAACGTTCATTTATTGTTTATATTAGCACTCATATTAATTCAAAGGTAAACATAGAACAAAAACATGCATTGAGAAATGAGTTTCAAGAAATGAAATTTATCGGTAATTTTCCACGGAATTCTTGCTGCTGGTGCGTTATCGAAATAGCCACTTCGACTGCTAACAGGCGTCCAACCCTTTATTTAGATATACCGTAAAATGGGGTAACTTAGACCACTTTTTTTCTTATAAATGATGCCATTTTCTTACTAGCTAAATTAAACTTGAATTGAAACATGCAAAATACAGGTCTATACAGACTATACTCTAGCTTCACTCACCATAAATTGCTGGCTCCTGCCTCTCATAGTCTTTGTGTAATTTCAAAAAAAGTGATGGTCTTTGTTACCCCAGCTCTTGGGGTAACTTAGACCGGGTGGTAAAATCAATTATTTTTTTTTTGTAAAATAACTCAAAATAACTCCAGGTTTTGGTGCATTGTAGTAGAACTCTTCTAGTTACATATGCAAATGACAAACTTGAGGAAAGTGTCATAGTTTGCAAATGGGGGGTGCCACCCCATAATGAGGGAAATGTGACTACTTAATGGCAGCCCTGATGGGATAATATTGACTGGCTTGGAAATTAAGTTAAAATTACCATATATAAGACTCTTTAGAGTCTGAAACATAAAGAAAAAACATAAATAGGCTGTCAAACATAAAATATGTTATATATGGTAATTTTATATTAACTTCCAAGCCGGTCTATGACCTATTAGATATGCAAACTTTTTAAATCTTTCTATTGTGTTATGTAGCCTCAGTATTAGGCCTTTAATGCCCATTGACAAAATTTTTCTATGTCAAATAGTTTTTGAGTTGTGGGGGTTTTTGTAAAAAAAACGAAAAGTGGTCTAAGTTACCCCGCCGGTCTAAGTTACCCCATTTTACGGTAGTCAACTTGGTTGCTTTGAAGCTAAATAACAAAACCAATCGTACCAATTAATTCAATGTGATATACATTGCTAATTTTACGATCTATGGTCAGAAATACAAAAACATATTCATCCACATGTCCGTTGTTTTGATTATCCAGAACCAGTGACAGACAATTGATTAAAGAAGAGCTCCATGCTCATTTTAAGCGTTAGAACTGGTCGTATCGGTATATCTTGCCTCTCCATTACATTCAATCCATTTCATTCATTTTATTTCTAATGGAGTTTCCTGGATTCGAGTGAGAAACCGCCTTCAGATCCATTTTTCCTTCAGAAATATGGATTTTTTAGTGTAGCCTTTAGCTCTCGCCTCTCGATTTCTAGAACTGAATACTTCTGATTTCTCAAATATAACCATGATGCAGCAGTAGTATGCATGTGTAATAAAACGCGCTTAAAATAAAAGAAAAGAGAACCAAACTTTCGTGGCTACCCTATTGCACAATTTTTCGTATAAATGGGTATGTGGCGAGTCAAAAATAACAAAGAAAATAATCAGGATAAGGGAAACATTATACTGAAAAGGTTATTTTTACATTTATTAGATAAACGAGCTATCAATAACAATAGAATTAAATAGATACAATAATAGAATCATATGAGTAGTAATAAAATCTAAACAGGTCTACATGGCAAAAAAAAGTTCAACCGAATCATTGCTAAGCAGTGAGCTGAGGAGGCACGTAGACGTAGATGCCTCATTGCAGAGCCTCAAAAGAAGTGGCCACAGATCCTCCAGTCTTGCTATCTACACTCACAGGCAGCAAGCCACACTTCTCATCGTATCTACACTATGGCTGGGGCCTTCTTATCTACACACCCACTGCCCACAGCAAAATATATCTACAAGCTGTCCGTATCAATACACGCATTATGAACAAACATACACATAAAATATTTCAACGTTTTTGCTGTACAGTACAAACATAAACATCGCCTTCAGCGATGAATAAGACTATTAACTTTATGAACTTAGCAGTGGGTAAATATCTACAGTAAATGTACAATAAGATAGGGAGAGCAATGTGGACAGAGATGCTGCTGCCTCGGCGACTGTGCGTTGCCAATAACAGCAACCCACGGCAGCACAACTACGAAGCTGCAGCCAGGGACGACAGCTGTTCAACTAGTACTAGCCATGGCAGAGTAGTAGCAACAGTACCTAATAGCAGTTGTCTGGCAGCGCTCTAAACACAAGCAGCAGCAAACAACTAAGGCCTAACAGTCACTCCTTTTGTTCTAACATTACCAATGAGATCCAACATATAAGGGACACAAAACACACACACGATCTCTAAGAAGCTTGTGTCTGCAAAATAGGGTTGTTACGAGTACTGAAAGGGAACAATGATTGCAAAAAATTTAACAGTACGATGTTGCAAACAATACGTAGTTATACGCATCTCTAACAGTAACCTTGGGAAGGCAAAAAGGGAGACTCGTTCGAAGCAGCGAATCCACAATAAGCTCGACGAAGGAGTTAGGTTTCATTATCTGAAGGGATGGGTGTTTTAAAGATCCAATTCACGGGAAGTGGCTTAAAAAGCAACACAGTTAATGGTTAATCAATTCATAAATGATCAAAGGGTTATAAAATGTAAGCAATGAGCTACAGAACTGTTGCAATAACCTGAAGTATGAGAACGAGAACTCGGCACCTAAGTCTGAGATGGGAAGGTCTAGACGCTGTCGAGAATTACTTTCACGGATAAAATGTACATAAAGTCGCGAGATAGCGTCACACGCGATTGAATTCAACGTGATATCACGTTGAGAAATCAAACAGAATAAAACATTTTGTTTTTAATAACAGTAAAATGAATAAGTTTATTCCATTGAAGATTTGATGTTTGAGCAGAAAGGAATTGAAAATACCTCGAATATTGAATCATAGGAACCAAATATTAATAGAAGCAATCGAAAGTTTGTTCTTTGAAAATATTAAAAAATGCGAACCAATCGTTGAATCGGATGAGTTATCCTTACAAGATTTTCTTATTTAAATATTAAAGTGTGCAACATCACGAGCAAGTTAAGAATTGCTTAGAGAGTTCGCCGTACGATGGTTGGAGATGTTAACCATGAGAACCACACGAAGCTGGCGCGTTAAAATTAAAAAATTGGTGAAGAGGATAATTTAGATGCTAGTTGAAAATGCATCTCATCTTGTATCATTACAAAAATTCGTTCAAATATATAATACAGCATTGCATTCTGTGCATTTAAATTTGAGGTGAGAGACGAGGAATCATCATCATAAAACTATTATACTTGACCATCTAAAACTGAAAAAGAACTGTCATCCATCTCGTGCAAGTTTCTTGATTTAAAGTTCTAGGAAGTGGATATGTCCCAGTCCCTTCACGTAAAAGCAACGTGTAAATAAATTGCAACCGTAAGTCCCTACAGTTGTTTTTAGCAAAAGCCTTTCGGACAATTTTCACTGCATCATTGGCACCAACAAATCTTCATTTCAATAAATGAAAAACGTCGTAAAATGTGGTAGGTCATTATATAAGAAACAAAATTCATTGAGGACTAAATTATGAATTCACCATCAATAACCACCGAGAGCACGTATTGTCACGCAACTTCAGAAAAAAATTAGTTGGAGGGCAACCGGAAGACACACAGCTGACTACACAGGGCAACAAGAACAATTGTAAGATTATCATCCAGATCAACTCGTTGCATTGTCACGTGACGTGTTTAAAAACAACAGTAAGAGCAAAAATGTGTCCAAAAATTTGAGATTAACCAAAAAAAGAGCTGGCAGCGAGTCAGCTCGTATGCCCAGTGGAGTTAAGACTAACATGGCCTACTTGGAGCAACTCGACTCTATGAATGTAGACCTCGATTTCCGCAAATTTCCGAGCATGTAATAATTATGAGTCTCTGACTACAATCTCAACACTATAGGCTGACACCGATTCCTTCTGGTTAATTGATAACAATTTAGCAAATGTCGAATATAGTCATTGAATTTGTTCTAGTCAATTTATGATGAATGAAAACAACATTAAAGGTTATCGAGGTTTGATATTCAACAGATACAAGAAATGCATCTCTAGAGACGATATGCATGAGGAACTCAGGAACACAAGAACATCTTTAACTTAGTGTCCCGAGTCTAGGGCCATAAACTACAGAGACTGACGACAACGGCATGGCAGGCGACCGAAAAACCTCTCTCTAACAGGCCATATATTGCACAGAACAATCCAATATTGTTATAAGACAGTAAAATAAGCTTCCAACTCAAGCTGCACCTTCCAACCATCACAAAAGCATCCCTTCAACGTAACACGACACAGTTGCTCCACGAGTTGAGACAAAATTTATGTTATGGCATTATAGGGGTTAAGACACCCACTTAAACTCATTTCATGCGTTACACAAATTCTCCATTTAACGGTAAAAAAACGCTTATACCCTTCAATCTAAAACTTACATTTAAGCAAGAAAACTTTTAATCCACCTTAAAATCCTCTACTGAACTTAGCAAGCTATAACCCAAGTGCAAATTTGTCAAACTTAACTGCATTGAACCGTAATTTAGAACATGAAAATATTTAGTCAAAAGATGTGTTTGCAATTCAAATTCAGGTTTGAAACGACCCATCTTACTGGCTCATGAGAGGTCTCCTTGATAACACCAACAAACACAATCTAGTACATTGAATGATTATTGAACCATTCAGAGTTTGTCGAATTGAATAACAGCATTTCTAAAGACCTATTAACATTTACTACGCCAGAGGCTGAGAAGCATTAGAGTTGTAAGCATCTAGACGAATTGTCTCTGTTGACAGAGGATGGTGCAGCCCAGTTGAGGGGATGCTTTCTGCTACTTGTCCTTCGAAACGCGACGTCGCTTGCTGATGCTTTCATCGGGTGCTGCACATACAACAGATAAAAGTTACTTAAAATTACCATGAAAGCATAGATAAGAGATAACTAGAGGAGTCTGGCAGAGATAACCAGAGAAGAAGTCTGGCACAGACAACTAGAGAAGAAGTCTGGCAGAGATAACTAGAGAAGTCTGGCAGCGATAACTAGAGAAAGACAAAACCACTCGCGAATCACTGGCCTGTCACAATAACTAATTTTTGAGAAGCTGGCAAATGCAGCCATTATTCAATGTAAATTGCATCTCACTTACCAGCCGCAGCACTGCGGGTCTTCCGTCGGTTATCCGAAACAGTAATACTTTCACCGTCTTCGTTTTTGCTGTTGTTATTATTATTTGTGTTTGTGGTATTATTGTTGTTATTACTGTTGGTTTTATTAGACGCATTTGCAGGTGGCGCTGCAGAAGCGAGCCCTTGAAACTTAGAGCCATGAAGAGCGGTGCCGCGCGTCTCTCTAGTGCTGATGGTTTCCTTAGTTCGACTGTCATCAGCAGGCTCTGGGCTTTCAGCTGGGACTTTATCTGGAGCGGCCCTGTTATGTTCAGCGAGTGCAACCTGTGGTGCGTCGTTTATTACAGGAATACCTTCGTCATCACCAGTATCTGACATTCCCGTGGGTGGAAAATGTGTAGATTTTTCTTCAACAGTATCAATACCCGCCGCATCTGTGCTGCTCACGCTAGCAATAGACGTACTTTCACCAGGTGGAAGGTTATGAGAAGACGCACGCGTTGCGACAGACGAACGTCTCGATGGCGTGGTAGGTCGAGTTTCGCCCTCAGTGTAGCTGCTGCCACTAGCAGTGACACCCGTGTTACAGTTGTTATTAGTGATGTTATTTGAGACTGCAATACTGGTAGATGTAGAGGCACTACTGGGCGATGCGTTACGATTTGTAGAACATCCAGAAAGATCAGCAGTAGCAACAGTAGTTCTTGAAGCAGGAGTCAGGAGAGTGATGGCGGCAGCTGCACATGATGTTACTACCGAGTTACCGTTCTGCTGCTGCACCCCCGTGACGGTCGCTACCGCATTACAGCGGTTTCGGGTGCCGTTGTTGCGGCTCCGTGAACTTGACCTGCAATTAAAACGTCCATTGGAAACACGATCAATTATCTCGTTTGGTATAAACACAAATATAGTTTCAAATATCTCTTCATAATAACATGAATTTCTAGACTCAATCGTGTATTGAATAGTAGTCAAGATCATTCAGGATTTTCATGAAAATTGCTGATATAGAATGATTGAAAATCAATAAAAACAAGTTAATAATTCACCCTTGAAATAAAAAGTTAAGAAATTGAATAAGTTGAAATAATTTTTCTTGAAATATAAGTACCTATGTTCATCGTCTTCCTCATCATCAAGTGCTGCGAGTGGAGGTACGGAACGCCTCTTGGTTTGTGAGGCAGACGCGGCAATTGAGGCTTCCGAAGACGCGGCCGCGGCAGCAGCAGCTTCAGCTACACACGTCGCAACGCCCACTACAACGACGCCACTGCCACAGCTGCCTTCTTCGTCGTCGTCAGATGAACTCGAATCGTCACCTGCTGGATGAATGCTCAGAATTGCACAAAAGCAAAGCTGCGTTTATTTAATAATGAACCAGTACTGGTTCATTATTATTACCAATATAACATATCTAACATATTAAAAATGCCAAGAAAATTTATCATATCTTCAAGGAGAACGTTTCGGTGACCAGCTCAATCATTAGTTCAAAGGTTGTTGAACTAATGATGGAGGTCTCTAAAACCAAAATTACTTGGCATTTCCTTTGCTGATAAATTCTTAGTGAACTTTCGAAACACTCAGACTAGTGATATGAATACTCATATCTAACAATTATACTTCAATTATATTATATATGTTAATATAATAGAACATAATATACAGACTAGCACAACCGAGTAAATTTATTGCTGGCAATGAGTCGAAAAAAGAGACATCATTGTGTTCAGAAGCTATCCAAAAATTTGGAAAGCGTGTTTATTCTAATTTTCAGGCCAGACGTTTATGCAAATTCAACTCACCAGCATATCTCAGATTGGGATCAGTAGGCCGCGTGTTGTGGATCTTATGATGCGGTTCGGCAGAAGCAAGTCGACCTCTGCGAGGCTGTTTGGATGGAGGCACTGCAACAGATAAGTTGCCGTCGGAAGATTCGTAGCGACGTCGTTTGTACGCCCCGCGAGTTGCTGGTAGAGTACCAGAGCAGCTGCCAATTTTGGATACATTACCAGACAAGCTCGTGACCGTGATACTGCCACTGTTAGCCAGTACGCGTCCGCTGATGCTGACACAGGAATTTGCCAAGGAGCTCATACTAGGAGTGAGCGATGTGCTTCCACAGAAACTGTTGCTTGGGGCGCCTCCAGAACTGGATACGACTAAATGCACCTGTTGTTGTTGCTGCTGCTGTTGCAGATGCAACAGCTGCTGAGCCACAGTACTGCTATTTCCGGTCACAGAGTAGCTTGGACTTCTCCGGTCTAATGTTCTGGGGCTGACTTCACAACTGTTAATCTTTGGGCTCGCAATTCTAGCGCTCTGTCGTGTGGCGCGCGTGAGTCGCTTGTCGTCGATCAGTTCTGAGTTGTTCGCTGGTATTTCTATGGTGAGTACGTCAAATTCGCGACCAGTCTTGCATTTAATCATCCCCAGTGAATCTTCAATTTTTAACAATTTGAAATCTTTCAAATTTGATTCATTTTTAATGGTAGTTTCGATTGAGTCTTTTTCTGCGACGCGCGGCGGTGAAAGCTTTTCTCTGTCATCATTTTCGTTATCGAAGTCTTTCTTTCTGTCTTTGTTACTTCCATATGTATATAAAGGGGGCTGAACTCTCAAAGGCTTTGGCTCATCCTCGGTCGGTGAAAGTATGCCACTCTTGAGATCATCTTTCTCTGGCGTGATGATTTGAGATATTTTAGTGCTGGAATGCTTGACTTTAACAATCGAACTGCTTGAAAATCCAACGAAGTCGAGATTATCCTGCTCGCCGTTGGTGGTGGCAACTGCTGCAGCATCGGTTACATGCATGCCCGCCACGAAAGGATACGAGGCGTGGTGAGCATTGGAAGGCGGAGCAAGAAGCTGAGCCTTCAACAGAGATGGCGGTCCGTCATCTAACTTGTTGCTCACGGTCGACATGATGCTACACTTACTTTGAGAAGTGCTTCCTGAAGTCGGTATAAGCTGTTTGAACGTAACCAACTGACCCTTTACAGGACTAGCAGAAGGACTCATTGACATATTTTCAGGCAAAGACACAAGTCTAAAAGCTTTGCCAACTGGCGGAGTGAGACTGGATGCTTGGGAAGTAGAGAAAGGGGAAGATTTAATTGTTACTACTTTCGGGCTACATGACGTGATGCTGGAAATAGTTTGACTTGATAAGCTGGAACTTGTAAGAAAAATCATAGCAGTTGAAGCAACAGTGGTGTTGGCCGAAGTAACTTCGACCACTTCGCTGCTGCAACTAGCAAGAACGCCGGTGCTTATTGGGATGTCACTGGCTTCAACTGATGGCTGACCAATCTCTGTCTTGGAAGTGCCAGATTCAGTGACAGATACAGTCGAGGGGATCTCATCTGGAATTGAAATCTTCGAGGTCGAGGCCTCGGGCGGAATATTTGTTATACTTGTTTGCTCACTACCGCTCATTTCCGACGCTTCCAATTCAGGCGAGATGGAACATGAATCTTCAGGAACATCTTTCGGATTTGCAGCAGCATTATTAGCTTCAGATGATTCCGCATGTATTGCAGATACAGGTTTGATCTCAGCAATACAAGGAGAAAGATCATTAGGTCCATTGACAGAGCTGTTTACTTCTTTTCCCTCCTCCAAAGTCAACTCAGATTCAGTAGTCTTACTCGTGGAGGGAAGTAACCGAAAATTTTCACCATCGTGAAAATTGGTTTTGTTCACAGAAGCTAAATCGGACTCTTTATCAACACCAGACTCTGATGCCGTGTTGGCTGTTGTGTCAACGGTAATTAACCTTGGACACAACTCAGGATGGCTGTTTCCATTGCTGTGGTCGGAGCTACTAGGGCACTCAAGAGGCTCGAGTGGTTGTTTGGAAGCTTCGGTAAAAACGGATGCATTTCCAGAAGTTATGGAAGCAGAGGAAGTGGGGGAATTTGAGCAAACGCCGCCAGAACTTTGCATTCCACAAGCAGTAACCACATTAGCCGAACTGGTAGTGGCAGCACGCCTGACATAATTCGTTAAAGTATTGGCAGATTTGGATGCATCACTGGAAAACGCATCACAATCTTTTTCATCTCTTCTGTGAGGTGACTGATCGCTCTGGTTTGGACTCTTTTCAGAGAGGGCATCCATTGATTCTATACCAGAATCCTCACCACCCTGCCCACCGGAGCCGTGTTCACCTTTGGGCGTGCCTTCAGGACTTTCTATTTCTGAAGGCTTGATACATGGCACCGTTGATGCAGCAACACTGGTAGTCACTGAAGTAACACTGTCTTTGTTCGATTCTACGCCTTTAGAACCATCACTGCAGTCAGCAACAACACTTGCACCGTCTCCGCTACTAATTGAGTGAGCTTCTGCTCCAATAACACCAACGGCACCACTAGCGTCACCGTCTTCCATACTTTTTCTAACACTATTATCACAGTTACTCGTATTTACAACTAAACTAGAATTTTCTACAGGTGACTTATGGACTCCCGAGTTGGTGTCTGTGGAGGGTTGATTAGAGGAACATTTCAAACCATCTTCAGGGTCTTTCGACTCAACACTAACGGACGAAGAGAAAAAGTTTGTACTTTCAGGCTGACGTCTCACAGCTAAATTAGACGAGGCTAAGGAAGAGGAAGGCAGAGACTGAGCTGCAGTGGAAGATGCAGAGCCTCCACTACTGCAGTTCCATCTTTCTAATTTGTCCGACATTTTAGGCTGGATGTCATTCGTTGTAACAGAATTTCTTGAACTTTTAACAGCTTCTTCAACGGCTCTGCGATCGGTAACATCGATGCACGTCACGCGGCCAGATTTGTTGAGAATGTCGGGCAGAGACGAATATGAAGGACCTTTGTGCGTCGTCAAGCCTCTTGCAACTAGACCATCATCAGCACCAGGGCGCAATGATAAAATATCTTTCTTCCTAACGCTCTGGATAGTGATGTCTGAATTGGCATTGAGGGCAGGGAAATTGGCACACAGCGCCGTCTTGAGCAAGTCTCCACCTTTGGAAGGACGAGAAGCGTTCGCACTACGGCTACGATCAGGGTCATGGAGCCGTGAGTAACTGTTACCGCTGCTAACACCGCTCGGTACCTTGTTGATTAAGACGGACGAGTTCAGGTATGTTGGGATGCAAGTGGGTCCTGCAAAGAAATGAAATACATTAGCAGAACGGCAACACAAAGTTAGCATGAACGAGATAAATATCATTGAATGTTGAATAGTATTGTATTTAAAGTACAAAACAAGCAAGATAGTAATAAAATTGGACATAGGTAGATTTGGTTCTAGAAAAGTAGAAATGTGATAAAGTTGAACAAAACGGAGAGACAAGCAATTTCAATTTCAGAAATTCAGTATCATTTTTCTAACGAAAAGTTGGACAGATAATTCAGCTTTAGACTTCAACAGGGTTTTGCATTAAAAGATTCGTGCAAGACTTTCTATTCAACAAATAATTCACGATATTAATTTAGAAGATTTCGAAGAGAATGAACAGCTAAAAAAATGATAAAAATTCAAGAACTAACCAATTTTTCTCTTGGGATCTGACTGTGGAGTTTCCTTCTTGAGGAGACTAAGAGACGTCGAGGTTCCAATGATATCAACACCTCCAGCCTTGCGCTTGATTGTCAGCTTACCGGCAGATGTTAGCTCGGAAAATGCATTGGACTGCAAAGCTCGAGAGATCGCACTTCTTTCCCCGTGGCTCATTTCACCATTCATTTGAGGTTTTGCCAGGCTGCTTGAGGCCGTTCCATCCTTCACACTTAATGAAATATCATTCAAAGTGTTGCTAGTAGATTGGTCACTAGAACTGAAAAAATTTGTGGATGGACAGGAAGAGGAAGGATTGCGATGAGGCTGTTGCGTGTGCATAGCCGCAACTTTTGTTATACTTGGTGGTAGTGTTTCTAGGATTTTGTGACTAGTGAGCTCACCAATATTATTTATTCCGCCCAACTTTCGCAAAGGTGTCTTTATTTTAGGTCTTGTACGAAGTTTAGAATCGAATTTTGTTACTTTTACATTGTCAACTTTAGTTGGATATCTATCTTCATAAGTTCGAGGACCCTTGATTCGAGTATCGGTCAAATCTTTCAATCTAGAGTTCGGTGATAGATCAGATTCAACTTCTAATTTCATTCTTTTAGAATCATTAACTTTGAGAGCCGAATCCAAAGTGCAACTTTGTTTCAGCTTTGTCGATTCTGTTCTTTCACTGTCACTATCACCAATTCGCGTTTTCCTTCGGTTCCCTTTCCGTTTTCTTTCTTCTCTACTTTGTTGATCCATCAATTTCCTATTTTTTTCTTTCTCTTCAGATTTCACAATGACTGATGTATGGGAACCAAACTTTATATGAATTTTGGGTATTCTTTGCTCACTGCTCGACTGATTAGCAGAATTGAGACAGGTAGAGGAATCTTTTCTTTCTAACTTTTTCACGGGATTGGGCTTCAAAACTTTCTGAGCTAGACCTTCACGGCCTAGTTTGAGTGTAAGGCGCAATTCACCAGAACCTGGTGTAGTCACTATACTTTTATTGTCATCCCAATGAGAATTCCCAGGAGAATCCTCTTTAAGATTTTCTGTCTGAGCTAAAGAAACGTGTAATGAGAATTTTGAAGGTTCAACTGAAGATGCTGACATTATTGAAGGAGCTTTGTATGTACTTGAACTTGAATCAAAGCTATCTTTGTTACAGTCCAGGTTTTTGTCTTCTGCAGATCCTGATAAGGACACAAGCTCCGAGCTCCCTGAAGATACTTGATCTAGGGCAGCTGAGGGTTGAATGGATAAAAAAGATGTTGTTTTCGAGCACGTTTGTAGCGAAGTATGAAGCTGAGGAGAGTTTTTCAGAATAGGAGAAGAGCGGATTTCTGACTCGGAATCGGAACTATCTGTATTGTGTCGAGGCTCAAGTAAACCGGTATTAGGGTTAATAAGATACTGACTTTCTTTGCTGCCCAACATTTTCGGCGAAGGAGCTTTGCTTATTTTCGTTTCTACGAAGGTATTGGAAGTCGAGGCATTAGACGCAGTTGATGTAAAAACCATGTGCATATCAGTAACAGAAGAAATTTGAGAAGTGTCACTGAGAGACGTGGAAGTGCCATTGCTTGCGCTTACTGAAGATCCACTTGATAATCCAGGTTGGTTGGATGGAGTAAGAGGAGGAGTAAGAGCGGTGACGTGATTACTAGCAAACAAGGGCACGCCTGACATGGTAGATTGAGCGACGCCTGGGGTAGAGGAAGGGTGAGGCGACGGTGACGAAGGTGTCGGGCTGATAGCAGGGGAGGGGGATGCTGCTGCAGAGGCAGAGCCAGTCAATGCGCTATTGTTGGATCCAACACTTGAAATACTTGAGCGCTGAGGTAGAATAGAAGCTTGCTGCATTACACCACCAGAGTTTGAAGCTGCAGGTACGTGTGGTAATGCATAAGCCAATTTACTTCTAGCTGACAAAACCACTGTACCAGATACACTCGTTGAAACAGAAACTTGAGATGAGGTAACAGTTACTGCCTCAGGTGTTGTGATGTTGCCACCAGTCGCACACACCATGGGAGGAGGTTTACCAGTAGCTAGAGGGTGCTGTTGAAGTCCCCCAGGCAGTGGAACCCTGGCATTTGTAATGACAGAGCCCCCAGAAAATAATTGCTGATGAGTAGTAAGGCCATCTCTGCTTCTTGTTGTACTACTGTATTGATTTAGAGAAGAGTTCACAATCTGGCGGTTATGAATATGTGAAGATGCGTTTGTATTGTCATAGTGATTTGCTGCCATACTTGTCAAGTGACTTGAAGCCAGCCCCAGCTCTGCAACCGTTTTTGATTGAGTGGTCTGTTCAGGTTGTTGCAGGAGCCCAACCAAAAGAGGGCTGTTCTTCACCACATTACCCATGGTAGTGACAGCAACGACAGAAGATTGCGGGACACTGATGGCAGGAGGCACAGAAGCGGGCTGTGGGGATTGCTGTTGCTGTAGATGCACAAGTTGCTGTTGAGGAGGTGGAGGCCGTACAATGACATGGCGTGCGCCAGGTGCAGAAACAGTGGTGGCAAGCATGGTGGGCACACCCGACATGCTAGTGAGACGGTAATTTGAAATAGCTTGAGATGATGCAGGCATCGCGGGCTCTCCAGTGTTGTGAACTACGTAGGAAGAAGGAGGAGCTTGAGAAACATGGCTTACATTATGCATGGGTTCTGTAGAATTCGGATATGGAGGAGGGGGAGTTGGTTGATGGTTAGCTACATATGCAGGTCGATGGTGAAGCATGGAACTGGGGGCACTGCGCACCACAACAGCGCTATGTGGCTGCAAAGCTGCCGGACTCGCAGAGACCTGTTGGCCATACTGAAAGCCTGGCACTGATTGAGGATGAGCAGCTCTATACTGCAGAGTTTGGTGAGGATGGTGATGTTGGTGATGGCCATGATGGTGAGCTGGTACATGGCTGGCAGCCGAACCAAGGAGGCCTGAGATCCGGTCCATTACGTTACCCGAGACAGGCCCATCTGTGGCCCGCAATACCAGCTCATTGCCTTCACTGCTCCCATTGCCAGCCAAGCGCAGCGAGATCACCTGGCGTAAGTAAACTCAGTAAATTCAGTGACAAATTTACATATTTGGAAAATTAGGTCAATGTGTAAGAAATTTCTACATGTATATAATTGATGCATTTAGTCTTAGTTGAAGGTTATTCTGAAGTTGAATGTCAAATTAAGATGGTAAGAGCCTTGTTTCACACACCGTTCAATAAAGAAATCTGATACAAGTCATGATTCACCAAATTAGAGGAAAACTTGGACAAAAACTGACCTGGTCTCCTTGGACTTGCACTGACAAGATTCCTAAGCTGCGTAGAGCTGGCTCTCCAGCTTGGGCAAGTAAATTCAATCTTCTTGCTGCCTCACGGGGTATAGAAAAAGTGACACGTACGCTATTCCAGGGCTCCACAACATGAACTCTTGGTGCACGCTCTGCAATATAGTAGGTTATGAAATGAGAATTCCCATAATACAAAAATAGATTTCAGTATTATTCTTGATAATGGGCATTGCAAATAATTTGCAAATTTCAGAGCAAGCAATGAGAAACAATTTAAGAAGCTTTTTTTTTATAATAAAAAGTATATGATACTTGAAATTTAGAGGAAAGTTTAACCATACCGTCAAACGGGGTAAAAACGGACAATTTTTTTCTTTTTTCATTGATAACTTCTTACCATGTAACATTTCATCCAGTTTGGGCTCATTTTAAACGTTTTGTGAGGGCTATTGTATGGTTTATCTGAAGAAATTTCATATGCTATTTGCAAAGTGCCAGAAGCAAAAAAATATATATAACTCAGTACTGCAGTGAGTGACAGCACGCATTTTCTTGTCGATGAAAACATGAAGTCACCGACGGACAGACAGACGGACGGACATGGCAAGCACAATGGTGCATTTTTTCATAAGTGAGAAAATGCGCTAAAAACAGCCCGAATTACCCCTGGTAACTGTGTAATTTGGGACACTTGAAATGAAACCTAATTTTAAAACCTTTAAAGCAGGCAGAGTGTACTAGCCCATTACTAACAGTACTCCAAAGTCCTCCTCTTAATTTGTAGATGATGTACGGTAGATGTAAAATGAACAATGTTGTCTGTGATTTGTACTCATTTTTCCTTTATTTACATACAGTGGGGGGAAATAAATATTCGTACACTTGAAAAATCGTATTTTAATGTATGTAAGTACACAAACTTAACAGGAAAAGTGATTTAAATTATGTATAGAGACGCATAGTATTCAAAAATACTATCATAAGAAATTAAATCTCAATACATGTTTCTAGTACATTCTGGAATGTTCTGGTGTGAAATATTAGTCAAAAGTTGTTTTGTACGAATACTTTTTTGATCCGAAGAAGTTAACATGTTGCATTAATTTTTGTTGCATTAATTTTTGTTGCATTGAGATTTAATTTCTTTTGCTAGTATTTTTGAATACTATGCATCTCTATACATAATATAAATCACTTCTCCTGTTCAGTTTGTGTACTTACATACATTAAAATACGATTTTTCAAGTGTATGAATATTTATTTCCCCCCACTGTATTACCATATCAATTTCTCATTAACAAAAACTTTTTTCCTATTCTATACCTATCACTTTTAAAAACGCCAAAGAACTTTCTTTTCAAATAGTGATGTTTGCCTATAATTTAACTTAAAACTAAACTGTGCTGGTACCTACATGTTTTTCTAGATAACCAAGGCTATCGGCCAACTTGCTATGCATGATGTTACTGTTACTAAGAAAGTTTATGTTACTAAAACGATTTGCATATTTATATAATATAGTGACAACAATTTTATCTATGACATTTAGCGCACAATTTTGTGATTACCAATAATGCATTAATTTTTCAAGTGCCATTTTTTTGGAGTGATAGGTAAATTCAATCAAAATTCTTTGTCGTTAACTGATTTTTTTTCTTGTTAACCGAATCCTTCACTGACTGAGGTTCTACTGTAAATGAAATTTTAGGGGTGTCCCACATAACTCTGGAGGGGTGTCCCATAATACCCTGTCTTGTGGAAATGGCTGCCATTTCGTTTTGGATTGAGGTACACAAATTCCATCAACAAATTTTTAAAGCCAACACCAGTCTGCAAATGTTGTCAAGCAAAATTCTTCCATAGCATTTTTCAACATTTTTTAGGGAATTTTTATAGCTAGCAGATGTATAATTTTTCAACTTCCTTTATGCTTCATAGTTAGGAAAAATGTTGAAGTTTACACCCCTATTTTTAGTTTTGTACCATTTCAATTCGTTTTGCTGCTTCAACATTTTTAAAACATGCCAGAGGACTGTTTAGATTTACACCGTCAGTCACTTATTAGGTACCCCATTTGACAGTACAACAAGAATAAGCAATTGGGCTTCAGATATACATTCATGAAGAATAAAAAGTATGCATATATTCTAAAATTAGAAGAAAAATGAAAAGAAATACCTCTTGCATCATATTCAGAAATGAATAGGAGCCAAAGTGAGCAATTTTCCACGCCAAAAAAAAATTCAACATATAATGAGATATAACTTACCACACTGAGTGAGATGTTGGAGACGATGCATGAGGCACTCAAGTTTAGTTGAGAGGTTAGGATCAGTGATGTTGCCTTCACATGTCAACACCATGGTTGTTTCCCCTGCATCCTCCTCCTCCTCCTCTTCATCAACATCACCCCCACCACCTCCATTGCTGTTCCTCTTGTGGTGACAGCAGCCAGGGGAGCTGGTGGGGGTTTCTTCACCATCTTTACCATTGACAGTTGGGGAGCTGTTCACCAGCCGTCCCGTCATTGCTGCAAGTATTTAATTATCATTAGCACTTTTTATATACTTCATTTAGTATCAGAAATTCTTATAAATATTTAAGGCAAATATAAAATATTGTATATAAAAAAAATAACTTCTCTGATATCAATTAAGTTCAACACTATCAGCAATATATAAATATATATTAGAGTAACATCCATGGGCATGGCAATCCTTCCTGTAAAGCTCAATACTGCTAGAAAATTTCAAGCCTTGAAAACACCCCCAACTCACTGGGCACCTGAAAGATGCCAAGGTAAGATAGAAATGAAATTCCAGATGACAAATGTTTGACACAAAATATAATGCTCTACAATTAATCAATATGGATGTCAGACAACAATTTATAAGGTATTGATTCATCTATCATATCAATTGATTGTGATTAGACCTGCAATTGCACATTGATGCTGATTCATGGTTGAGGTGACTTGATGGAAAGCTCAATAATACACCAATACCATGAACTAAAAAGCATTAATTTTCAGCTGGACTGTACCATCAACCAGGGCTACTTGGGACGGTTTTGAGCGTTTTTTGTTAATAACTTCTTACCATAAAATATTTCATAAACAAGTTTAGGCTCATTTTATAGCTCTTTGCGAGGGCTATCGAATGGTATCTTCAAAAAATTCCATATGCTATTCGTAAGGTGCCAGAAGCAAAAAAAAAAGTGTCCCGAGTAGCCCCGTCGAACGCGGCTACTTGGGACACTTGGAATAAAACTTCATTTTAAAACATTTGAAGCATGCAGAGTGTACTCATCCATTACTAATAGTACTCTGAAGTCCTCCTCTTTCATTGTAGATGATGTAGAGGTAGAATAAATGATATTTTCTGTGATTTTTACTAGTTTTTCCTTTATTGATATGATATTACCATATACATTGATTACCGTATTATTGATGCAATATTACCATATGATTGATGCAATATTACCATATCCATGAACATGCCATTGAGCATTTACAACAACCTTGTCCACTGCAAGCTTCATATCAGCAGCCTTATAGCATTTTTTCTGTATTTGTAAGCTTACAGGACGGCTTGTATATTCACACCATTTTAATTGGGTTAAGTGAATTTACTATAAAAAAAAGATCGTGAAAAACATACCTGAAACAGAATGGAATGTTTTAGTGACAACCATCATATGTATTGCAGAAATAAATCGTAGTTTAGGTCAATCACTTTTCATTCTATGATGCCTGGTGCACAATTCTATACATGACATTCTATGCACAATTTTGTGATGACTGATTGGTTATTGAAGTGAAATTTTTTTGGCAAGCGAGGTAAATGTAATCAATATTCTTTGTTTTTAATCATTTTTTTCATAACTGGAGCTTTTGCTGAGGTTCTACTGTAAATGCGTTTTTGGGGGTGTCCCGAATAGCCCTGGGGGGGTGTCCCGAGTAGCCCCGCTGTGCGGAAATGGCTGCCATTTTTTTTTTTGGATTGAGGTATGTAAATTCTGCAAATAAAGTTTTCAAGCCGACACCTGGGTGCAACTTTTATGTAAGTAAAATTTTTTAATATGGCAAATATTTCTTTTACTACAGACCTTAGCAGAAGTAACTTCTCAAAATAGCGTTTTTCACCTTTTTTTCAGGAATTTTTTTAAGCTAGTAAATGTAGCATTTTTTGACTTCCTTTATACTACATAGATAGGAAAAATGTTGACATTTATGCCACTATATTTAGTTTTGAAATATTCCAATTAGTTTTGCTACTATAACAGTTTTACGTCGTGTTGGAGGACTGTCCCGAGTTACCCCGCCAGTCCCGAGTAGCCCCGATTGACGGTATTGGCTCTGATATAATTTGGATTTTTGGTTGAGTCACTTGCTCAATAAAATAATATTGCCAGGTGTGGAGATGAGTATGCTTCTCTTTTTGTTATTAAAAATGTCATCACTTGGAAGACACAATGCAAAAAGGCAGGAGGTAGGTACTCCTTGACATCATTAATAACAAAATAGTTGCAACATTACATGATTTGGTTGGCAGCCTGTAAGGTTATGGGTTAAAAATCCAGTTGTGGCTTACAAATTAGGTACACACGGAGTACGGACATTTATACCTATGAGCAATTGATGAACACATATATATATAATATATATTTAGTCTATAATCATATAACACATCACTAATCTTACATAATAAGCAATCTGGAAAATTGGGAAAACTTTTCCAAATGTTGCAGTTAACAATAATTTTGTGGGCAATTTTTTTTAAATTTTGAGCAGATGTGTGTTGTTCTTCACATTTGTTGAAAAAATTTGGAAGGTGCCATAAAAACAAGTGAAATTGACCACAAGCATGGATGCTTTTGTCTCATTCACAGGTGGCTTTAGTCCAATTTTCTAGATTGGCTTAATACATTACTTCTTCATTCAACTGTAAAATTAGGCAAAAAACACTAGTAAACAAGATGTATATAAATGCCCATACTTAGTCAATCTCATCTTTTTCTATGGCTCTTGCCTAATTTCTCTCATAAAAGATAAGAAATAGACTAAATTTTTGCCTAAAATTTTCAAAAATTGCCTGTGCAACCATCATTTTTATGCACAATTTATAGAAAATTCTAATATTTCAGGTTGGTTATAATCCTAATCCATTCCCTGAAAAATGAGACAAATGGCACATTTTTGTCTTCAATATTTGAAAATCATTTACAAAATGGTAGTTTTCACCCCAAATTTTTAGGAAATTCTGTTGTAAAAATTTTGGCTGCTTCTAAATTACACCCTACATCTAATAATTGCTCTTTTTTTGAATGATGGCAACTCTATTCTGGGTTGACAGTCATAATCTTGAAGGATCTGTCTGATCTATTGTAGATAAACCTGAGGGTCCAGGGTTTGTGTCCCTGTTCGGGCGCCACTGTCAAAGTTATGAATAACTCTGTTCTGGGTTGACAGTCATAATCTTGAAGGATCTGTCTGATCTATTGTAGATAAACCTGAGGGGTTCAGGTTCGTTAATAAATTGTCCGAATAACAGATTAAATATTCATTGTCCAGGGAAGGATAATGACAAGACGTGTATCTAAGCGTAAGTATTAAAGAGAGGTTTTACGGATACACTTGATAGAAGTTACAGGATCAAAGCATAGTATGTGCAGTAATTTTGGAGTATACGACACTGCGTGTTGGCTGAGTGCCAGAGTCTAGAGTTAACTGCATGACTGCAGCTGAAGGCTGTCTGCCTAAGACTCGCCTATGACTGACCTAAGACTGACTGGCAGTCGGCTCACCGAGCTTATATACGCGGTGACCCGCAAGTAGTGACGTCACAGAAGGTGACGTAATAGTTGCTGATGACATCACGGCCTGACAACAGTAACCAACTCATTCCTTCACATAATTGCTTGCTCATTTGTATTATCCTTCCTGAAGTGTGATTTGCTACGATAACTTTAAGGAGGGGCTTAATCATGAGCGTAAACTGTTAAGTTTTGTTTATATGATGAGCCCCATTAATTTATAATTTTCTTTTTTCTTTGCAGTAGCCATGGAATGGACAAATGTAGAACATACTTTTGAGGTTGAGGCATACTTTTCCCATGTTAAATCATTCATCACCACATGGCGCACATTTTGTTGGCACTTGAATGTTGCACCTCATGTCCATATTTCAGGACAAAAGTAAATCGTTTTGTAGGTGAAGAACTTATGGAAATCTGGAGTTGAGAAGAAAAAAAGCCTGGTCTCTAAAGAACTGCAAGATCTCTGTGGAACATTGAAGCGGGGTGGCAATCCATCTTGAGATCTCCCCGATTATCTGCTTGCAAGCATGCATCAGCTTGTTTTGTTAGGCAGATCCTTCATGAGGAATTGAAGTTCCATTCCAACAAGATTGTTGTTGCCCAGTAACTGATTCCTTGCAACTTCAAAGCCTGTGAGGCTTTGAAGGGCTCTTCTTGACTTTCATGATGGCACGCTTGTGTTCTTCATCAATGAGCCACGCTTCAATCTTTCTTAGGCTGTGAACATGCAGAACATGAGGTACTAAAGTGCCGAAAATCCACAAGATCTCCACCTACAACAACACTTGCAATGTGCAACTGTTTGGAGCATAAAATCCCTAGTTCAAATAATTGGTCTTTGGTTCTTTGAAGAAAATGAGAGGATACCTAGTTATGGTTACATCTGAATATTGTGTGACAATGTTTGGTTCCAGCAAGATGGTGCAACTGTGCAACCATCAAGAGCATCCATGGCTTTCTTGAGCAAAGCCTTTCCTAGGCATCCAATCTCTTTGAGGGGCAATCTTCTGTGGCCACCCAGGTCCCTGATCTTGCGCCTTGAAATAATTTCTTGTGGGGAAATTTAAAGTCCGTTGTGTACCATGACAGACTCAACAACCTGAATTATCTCAATAATATTCCTGAAGGTTTCGCCAACATACCTATCAAGATGCTGGAGAGTCAACTCCAATTTTTGGACATGACTGATGCAACGTATTGACAATAACAGATGTCATTTGTGAGATTTCATCGTTAAAACTGGCAAATTTTAAATGTAACTTGTTCTCAATTATGCTATTAAAAATTCATTTTTATAAATTCAATACTTTTGTTATGATATACCGTCAAATGGAGTAATAAGGGGTGGTTTTGAGCATTTTTCATTGACAACTTCTTACCATGAAACATTTCATAAACAAGTTTAGGCTCACTTTTAAGCTCTTTGTGAGAGCTATCATATGGCATCTCAAAGAATTTCCATATGCTATTTGCAAGGTGGCAGACGCAAAATAAAAGCGTCCCAAATTACCCCAGAGAATGGGGTAATCCAGGACACTTGAAATAAAACTTAATTTTAAAACGTTTGAGGTAGAGTGTACTCATCCATTACAAACAGTACTCAGAAGTCCTTTTTTTTAGATCAGTGGTTCCCAAACTTTTTCAGGCTGGCGCCCCCTTTGGCTCCCTAGTGATTTCTAGCGCCCCCCACAGACACATATAAAATCATGAGCCACTTTCTATAAAATTTAGTACGCTGCAATTTTAAAAGATATAGGTTAAACACGAATGTGTATTTCACAAATAGAACCCATTTTAGTGAACCAATATGTTTTTCAGCTGTTTTAACTGTTTCAGCACTAGAAACCTAGGTCGTCTCGGGCAAATTTACGGCCCGGACTCGTGGCCAGTCTCACGACCAATCTCAAAATTCAATTATCAAGAAATATCACCAAAACTAATGAACACAGCTCAATAAAACTTGGAACATGTATTCATCAGAACTTAACAGTGATGTTTAGCTTGCGAAAATTGTTTAAATATCACCTTCATTTGTGAGTTATATTGCGATACAGGCCGAAATTCGCAGTGATCAATGAATTTCTTCCAAATTACCTAACAGATTTGAACGGAATTTTGAATATACATTCCTAACTACCAAATGGTGTTTTTTAGATTCAAAAAATTTTTTTATTTTACCGTCGTTTGCGAGATTTATTTCATTTCACCGTTATTCTTGATTTCACTCTTCCTTATTCGCTTTCGTTTGCCAGTTATACAGATATAGGTAGGAGGAACGACCGGCTTTTCTACCGGTTGGTTTAACCAAGAGCCGTTTACGTATTTACGTATAGCCGCATAACTCACAAACGGAGGCTAAACATCACCGTTGCTGAGGTTAGGTATTAAAATACTAAATTTCGTTCAAATCTGTTCAGTAGTTTGGAAGAAATTTCTTGATTGGTGCAAATTTAAGCACGTATTGCTGTTTAAATCATGAATGAAACTCGCAAACGAAGGCACAATTGAGAAAATTTTCACGAGCTAAACATCGCCGTTTGGTAGTTAGGACTGTAAATTCAAAATTTCGTTCGAATCTGTTCAGTAGTTTGGAAGAAATTCCTTGATCAATGTGAATTTCAGCCCGTATTGCCATATAACTATGGCAAAAACAATTGAAGGCAAAATTAAAAAAAATTTCACGAGCTTTAAATTACCGTAAGGTCCTAATGAATACGTGTACCAAGTTTCATCGAATTAAGTTCATTAGTTTGAGAGATATTCCTTGATCATTGAATTTGGAAATTGGCCGTGAGACCGGCCGATAATTGGTAGGAGACGTAAACCCAGGAGAGGTTAAAAAAATATAACTCAGTACTCACTGCAGTGAGTGACAGAGAGCGCATTTTCTCGTCGACGAAAACGTGAAGTCACGGACGGACAAACAGACAGACGGACATCGCGAGCACAATAGTGAATTTTTTCCATAAATGAGAAAATGCGCTAAAAACAGATCTGGGTGAAAAATACCATCGCTGGGAGTCATGTGCTGCACGTGTTGTGTACAAATCGTCAAACAAATGTTCGAACTTCTTACTTTGACTTCTGATTGAACCCCCGTATATCGCTCCCTATATCGCCCCCCTATTGCCCCCCTATCACCCTTTTCTTCTTTACCGCCCCCCAAAATCTTTCCATCGCCCCCAGGGGGGCGATATCACCCACTTTGGGAACCACTGTTTTAGATGATATAAATGTAAAATAAATGGCATTTTCCTTGATTTTTACTAATTTTTCCTTTAACAATATGATATTACAATATACATTAATTTCAGTATTATTGACGTGATATTACCGTATCCATGAAAATGCCATTGAGCATTTACAATGACCTTGTGCACTGCAAGCTTCATTTCAGCAGCTATATAACATTTCTTCTGTATCTGTTAGCTTACAGGATGGCTTGTAATTTCCCACCATTTTATTTGGGTCAAGTGGACAGACAGACACGCAGACAGACAGACAGACAGAAAGATGGACAGGCATAACAAGCATAATAGGGCATTTTTTTCCATAAATGAGAAACTGCACTAAAAAAACCTGCCCAATGTTCCAGATAGAGCAGCAATAGAATACCAGTCTGGAAAATTAGGCAGAAATCACTCAAGAATGAGACATGAATGCCATAGCTTGAGGTAAATTTTAGTCTCTTGGACACTCTCTGGTGGGTCTTGCAGCTGATCAGGAGGCCAGTCTCTAAGATATAGTGAACATAAATTATCTCACTAACTAATGAATGTAGCTCAATGAAACTTTACATGTGCATTCAGTAGAACTAACAGCAATGTTTTGGTTGTGATTATTTTGTCTGTGTTTCCAATATATAGGGTAAACGTGGTATTTTCTGACACATTAAGGACGTAGCAAAAAATGAATGGCTATAAAAAATCACCATATGCGCAACTAGAGTTCTGTTTGCTTTATGTCACTTTCAAAACACCGCACTACATGCCAGCAACAATGAAATGTCACAAGCTATTGCCATATTTATTTAAAAGCCTCTAGAATGCAAACCTACCAAATCCATATATTCTGACGCTGTTTGTGAATAAATTAGGCATTTTGTGAGACTAATTCCGGCCATGCTTCAAACTCTACTAATTTGTAATTCCAACCCTCTTGTGTTCAAATTCTGATTGCTGTGTTAGCTGTATTGGAATACAACACAGCTCTGAATTAGAACACTATTGAATATTGAACACTACTTAATTAGGCTTTTAATTAAGAGCTATTAAGCTTTTAATTAGGAAAATTTTAATTTTTGCACACAGCTCAGAACGAGCTGTTTGTGTCTAATTTCAAGCTGTGTCAGAATTAGTTTTTATGTGTCTAAATCCGTCTCTCAACTTAATCATCTATTAATTTATTTACCACTTGAAATCAGCAAATACAAGTATACTTAAAGGATTCCTAATATATTCACAGACTTATTGAAAAGTCTCAAACCATAATATTCTTTCTACACAAACAGTTTATCAGTATTTGGTAGAGCAAGGTCTACTAACAACTTTGACACATTTTTCAATGTTCTCACTGGGTGACATGCACTGTCTCTCTTTGGATCTTAACATTTTCCCACCAGACAGCCCAGACCTAGTGTTTTGGCAAAAGTATGGCGCGCAATAGTATGAACTCACTATTTCAACCATCAATGAATGCGTGGAACTAAGACAAAGCTTATATAAAGGAATAAGTTGAGAAGTGTTGGAATTACCCAAGATGTCGGAATATACTGCGTTTACACTACTGTCATACCAAGAAAAATTTGCAGTAAACATAAAATATTTACTTAACAACAGAACATATTTAAACAAAACTTTGTATAATATTCTTAATCACCTAAGGTTGATATTTAGCTAGTGCCAATATGTTTAATTGCGGCTTTTTGTCAGTAATCATTCAGAGATGCAACTGGCATTTTGTTTTCTAGATAGGGTGACAGAGTTTAGTTATAATTAAATTATTATCTTAGGTACTCTCGGAATTAGTGGCAATTTTTCACTCAAAAAGCATGTGACAGTTTGTATAGGCATAATAAAACATCTCATATCCAATTTCTCCCAGTTAAGATTAGTGACAAGTACATCCAAGACCCAATTTGTAAAGTTGGGCAAAGGTTTCTTTCAATTGTGGGCAAAATGGATTGTTTCAGGAGTGATTTTCAAGAGGTGCAGGCAAAAATAGGCTGTTTTTCTTATTATTAGTGAAGGAATTAGGTAAAGGCCAAAGCAACAGGTGAAATTGGTCAAATTTAACGTATGTGGAAAAATTAGGCAGAAGCTACAATTAGCTACCACAAATCTGGCCTTTTTCATCTAGGGTAAACGTGGTATATTCCAAATTCCGACATCGTGGGTAATTCCGTCACCTCTTTAGTTTTTCCTTTATATTAAGCTTTGTTTTAGTTCCATGCGTTTGTTGATGGTTGAAATGGTGACATCATATATTTGCATGTCAAACTACTGCCAAAACACTAGGTCTTGGCCATCTAGCGGGAAAATATTGAGATCCAAAGAAAGACGATGCACGCTACCCAGTGAGATCATCAAAAAATGTGTCAAATTTGACAGTTGACAACTTGACCTTGCTCTACCAAATAGTGAATAACTGTTTGTATAGGAAGAATATTATGGTTTGAGACTTTTAAATACGTCTGTGAATATATTAAGAATCCTTTAAGTATACTTGTATTTGCTGACTTCAAGTGGTAAATAAATTAATAGATGATTAGGTTGAGAAATGGATTTAGACACATGAAAACTAATTCCGTCACAACTTGAATTGGACACACACACACACAGATTGTTCCACGCTGTGTACAAAAATTAAAATTTGCTTAATTAAAAGCCTAATAGTTGTTAATTAAAAGCGTAATTAAGTAGTGTTCAATATTCATTAGTGTTCTAATTCAAAGCCGTGTTGTATTCCAATACAATACATATTCATTAGCTCTGAGCTCTTCACCTGCAATTTTACGAATCTTCTGCCCAATATTCTAAGTAGCAATTCACAGGAGTTTATTTTACTGATTCAGAAAGATTAATTATAATTAAGTCAACAATGGCAAATTATTGTGTAACAGTAGCCTAGGAAAGTTCAAGTCAACATTGCCATATCTTCAAAAAATAAAGCCAAAAGAATAAATTCTCTAATTGTTTATATTAAAAATTACCCTAGGTACCTAGTTAGTAACAACAAAACACGATGAAAAACTTTGGGTCAAAAGCACTATCTGATGATATCATGATGATTAGGTAGAAGAATTGGAACATTTTGCTTCGGGATTTTAGGCCAAACTGCATCACATGTGAATGATGTGATGATGTCATGATGTGAACATTTTTAATCCCAGAACAACGACAAACAAATTGAGAAAAGATTTTCAAGAAAGTGGATCGTACTTTTCGAATTGAATACAGGGTTTATCGAGTTAGTAAAGAATTAAGGTTTTCCAGAAACTTACCAAGTACACTTCCAACTGTCGGTGATAATCCACAGGTATCCATCAAAACAATACAAATGGGAGCAACATCGCGGGAGAAACAACTCTAACATTCACCAGTTACGAAACTTTCTACATCAATATAAATGGTCACTGATATTTTATTACAATATTTTACATTTTCACTATAAAGTCGGTCCCATCACGATCACATGAGCACGTTATTTTGTCGCATAACGAGGCACAAACCACAGGTTACCGAGCTCGAGTGTACAAGGAAACATTTAACTTATTCTCATTTCCACTCGAAAGATAAATGATGGAGACCTCACTGATATAATACAGGATTATATCCACGGGAGCAAGGAAATTAATTCAATTTAAAGTTTTAGCAGCTGGCATAAGTTTGCTATGTAACATCACCCAGCAAACAATAACATTGGCCGCCATTTGCAATGTGTTTACGCGCTGATCAATCTGCGCCCCTACTACCTGCGTCTCTTTACCTCATCCAATTCCAAATTTATGTTCAACGGTGCGTTTTACATTTTACTAAAGGAATTAAGCGTCCAAAATATTATTTAGAAAAAAATAATAGATTCTACATTGTTTTCTCTAAGATAATTCAATGAACAACAATTTACAGCTCCACCTTTTGCCACGTAAAGAGACGTAGCCTTCGTTAGGCCAATTTTGATTGGCTACTTGTAAGAACTTCTAATGAGAATAAAGTTATGTTTTTACCGGAATTTTGGAGCATCTAACTTCAATCATGCGCACGAGCAGATATTATTTTTTTACACGAATAAATAATATTTTTCGTTAGATTTTAGTAACTTAATATCCCATATATCATATTGCATTGAATTGAGGCAATCTCTTTATGAGAACAGGTGCACAACACTTGTCATTTATTCGGTACATTGCTCCATATGCAAACGATTTTAAAGTACTCGTAATGATCCTTAATGATCGTGCATTCCACTGTTTGAGAACACATTCATTTCTCCTACGATACGGAAATCTCTGTAGATACAAGCGTTATATTATCGTTTTATTTTAGAATGAAAATATATGCTGCTCATGATTGCGCATCTGAAAATGCAAGCGATTTATTTTCAATTATACGTTGCACACATCATGGCATCATGGATGATTGTCTTAATAGATGATTAATTAAGAGCGCCGATTGCAGATATTTCATCAAATTGATTCCATGATCTCGATAAATATTAGTGTGCGTAGTCAATCTAAATAAACTGCGTCTTTCAAAGAATAGTTTCGGTCAGAATGAGCCTCATGGCCCCTCATTATCCTTAGCCTTTACAAAAAATTGTTAATCTCCATTTGAACACAATCTCCTAAGCTTTTTCATAATTGTGTTATTTTATTCATAATGGTTAGGAATTGTACGGTCCAGCACATTTCTTTTATCCTGAATGTTAAACAATGATCTTGAATTTTTTAATTCACCGAAAAATATCAAGTTAAAATTACTAGGATATTAATTAATAATAACCTCAGGCCTGAGTTTAAAGCTTCTCACTGTCACTTGATTAGTTACCGGATCACCATAGCACCTCTCTATGTCATTCGTAATAGCTTTCGGGAAATCGATTATCGGACTGCAGTATGACAAGGATAGGCGCTTGTCTACGATAAATTCAGCAATCAACCCCCGGGCTCATCTCAAAACCTACAATATGATAGAGAAAGACGGCTTGTCGATAGCTGGCGCTCAATTTTAAGGTTAAAAGGCACTGACGATGCACTTTGACATACATCATATGAAACACAAGCATATTTTTTAAACCAATCTCCATAAAAAAATGAATAACTTTGCATCATTATTTATTAACAAGGCCACAACAATTGAAATGCATAGTTTGTGGGTGCTGTCTGCCAAATACACAATAAGTTGACAACATTTTTAAAGAGTTCCTGAAGCCTCGTATTGGTCCAAACTATGCTCAACCAAAATCAGTTTCCAATTGACGCTCACAAGCATATTCCGTTGCATGTCGAGAAGCATGCATGTCGACAAACTTTTCTCGTTGAATCGAGTGCTCAAGACATCTTTGCTTATGTCAGTTTCGCGAGTTCATATCAGCAGGGCGCCAGAAGCAAGTTTTATTCATATAGTTAAAGCTTGAAACATGAAGCAATTTTTTGCGCTAATGGCCAACAAATACAAAGAACGTAGGAAGAAAGTAAGAAGCCACAACCATACCACGAGAAAGCATGATGTCCCTCTCGTTTGAGGCAGAAAAAACGCTCACGCAGAATTCGTTTTGAACCTAATTTAAATTATTAAATCATTATTCCACTTCAAAATCAAACAAACATCATAAATAGAATGAATTTTTTATTGAGTAGTTTACTGTAACATTTATTTGATGTCAATATTTACACGTGGAAACGATAGTAATGGCAACTATCGGGGACATCTACACCAGACGGACGTTGGAAATTATGAAATTTCTGACTATGATTTGACATTGATGTTTTATTATGGGAACAAATTAGGATCGTGGGCCACGCTGTTGTCTGGTGTAGACGTGACCTTCTTGCGGGTCCCTAATCTTCATCTTCTAGAGGGCAAGCCTGGAACAGCCCTGTCTTCCTCTGACGCTCGAATGACTTCGCCTCATCGTAGTTCCTGTAAAATAATCGAATTAACTTCATCCTTGAAATGAACACAAATGTGCATGAGGGTCCATTAATAAACGTAACGTATTTCTGATGGTTGCGGATTTGAATAATAAGTCTATCAAAATTCGATAAAAATATTGATTGATTATTTTTGATATATTTTAACAAATGATTGGCACGATAAGAAAGACAGAAGGTTTGGGTTGAGCGTACTGATAAGACATGAACGGCCTAGATCCTTGTGTAACTAATTTACTAGAAGGTATAATCCATGTCCAATAAGGAGGTTCCAAAGATCAAAACAATAAATGGCTATTTATATTGATTATGCAAAACAAAGCATATTAATGCTACAAAATAAAGAGAAATTTAAAGGACAACCAGTAATGAAGTACCATCCTAAAAGTTGTGACAACACCAGGTCTATTATTGTACATATTTGTGTATCTTTTTATCTCATGCGAGAGGAGATGGAACTTACTTGTAAAATTCAGCATATTTTTGTTTCCTGGGCTTAGCAACACCATAATAGTAGCCAGCAGCAGCCGCTATAGAGGCAAAAGTTGAGATGGCTATGTTACGCTTAATGTGCGAAGCCAGGAGACCACGCAGCTGAGGCTTGGCAATAGACATGACTCCTGCAACAAAACAATACACAATAAACATCTCTACTTTAAACAAAGACATGTCATATCCACAGACCCTGACCATTCATATGTGGTAGCAATGATCAGTTTATGCTTCCAGCTTGATCAAGGTAGAGTTTTTACTCAACATATGAAATTTGTAACTTGTAAGCAATCCAAAAAATATAAATTTATTATAGATGCAAATAATCACCAAGGGTATGATTATAGATTATAGTCCACAATGCGCTCGCAGCTGAACGTGATAGCAGTAGACGAAAATAGGTTTTATTTGGTGTAGGTTCTTGAATTATTCTGAGGATCTCTAGGTTAACAGAATGCTATCTCTAGGTAAGTGGTTCCCAAAGTGGACGATATCGCCCCCCTAGGGGCGGTGGAAAGATTTTGAGGGGCGGTAAGGAAGAAGAGGGCGGTAGGGGGCAATCCGAAGTCTAAGTCAGAAGTTCCAACGTCTGTTTGACGATTTGCACACAACACGTGCAGCACATGACTCCCAGCGATGGTTTTCACACCCAGATCTGTTTTTTCCCTCTCCTGGGTTTACGTCTCGGACAAATTAACGACGGGACTCGCGGCAGCGGTCTCACGGCCAATATCCAAATTCAATGACGAAGGAATATCTCTCAAACTAATGAACTTGACTGGACGAAACTTGGTACACGTATTCATTAGGATCTAACGGTAATGTTTAGCTCGTGAATTTTTTTTTTAAATTTTGCCTTCATTTGTCATAGTTATATGGCAATACGGGCCGAAATTCACAGTGATCAAGGAATTCCTCCCAAACTACTGGACAGATTCGAACGTAAATTTTCTTCAAAATTTCGAACTACCGAACGGTAATGTTTAGCTCATGAAATTTTTTTCGATTGCGTCTTCGTTCGCAAGTTTTTTCATTTCAACTTTATTCGTGATTTAAACAGCAATATGTGCTTAGATTCGCAGTAATCGAGAAATTTCTTCCAAGCTACCGAACAGATTTGAACGAAACTTATTATTTAAATACCTAACCTCAGCAACGGTGATGTTTAGCTCGTTACAATTTTTTCGATTTTGCCTTCGTTTACGAGTTATACGGCAATACGTATACGGCTCTTTATTAAACCGGCCGGTAGAATAGCCGGTCGTTTCTCCTATATCTGTATAACTCGCGAATGAAAGCAAAATAGAAAAATTGTCACGAGCTAAACATCACCGTTGGGAGGTTAGGTATTTATATACAAAGTTTCGTTGAAATCTGTTCAGTAGTTCGATTAGAAGAAATTTCTTGATCGCCGTGAATTTAAGCGACAAATTAACCGGCGACACGGGCCGAATATAAGGAAGTGTGAAATCAAGAATGACGGTGAAATGAAGAAAAACTCGCAAACGAAGGTAAAATCGAAAAAATGTTTAGAAGCTAAAAAATCACTATTTGGGAATGCATACGTACTGAAAATGGAATGTATATCCAAAATTTCATTCAAATCTGTTCAGTAGTTTGGAAGAAATTCTTCGATCACTGCGAATTTTGGCCTGTATCGCAATATAACTCATGAATGAAGGTGAAATTCAAAAAAATTCAAGAGTTAAACATCACCGTTAGGTTCTGATGAATACATGTGCCAAGATTCATTGAGCTGCGTTCATTAAGTTTGGGAGATATTACTTGATAATTGAATTTGGAGATTGGTCTTGAGACCGGCCGGGCTCGAGTCCGGCTGTAAATTTGCCCGAGACGTCCTAGGTTTCTAGTGCTGAAACAGTTAAAACAGCTGAAAAACATATTAGTTCACTAAATGGGATTCTATTTGTGAAATACACATTTGTGTTTAACCTTTATCTTTTAAAATTGCAGCGTACTAAATTTGCTTGCCTCAGTGATGTCTTGGCAGTGCGGCACAGAATCAATCACACTACCTCTCTATGTATACATCAAAGGGGGATTTCTAAAGAGGAAATTGAAAAGTTCACTGCTAACAGTTTAATTTCCAAGATCAAATTCTAGTCGTGCCATGAACCAAGATGTCCCAATTATGAACACCAAATACTGTCACTCTGAAGAATATGCAAAATATTTTATTATTGTTATTGTTATTCCACAAAGCAGTTATTTTAGCATCTGATTCAAACAAACTTTGAGGACATGTTAAATATAAGTTAAAGTTTTGAGAAGAATCTC